ACATTTAGACTGATTTTATATATAATTTTTTGTCATAAAATATTTGATAATTTCTTCTTCAATATTATTAGATATTTTTTTTCGAGGTGTGCGTTTTCTACATAAAAGAAAAGGATCATTATGACAAAATCTACAGTATTAGAATAAGCTTCTCAGTGCAACCTCTTTGGGGCTTAAATACGGAACTCACATGTGTTCTTTAGTCGTATTATATTAATACAAAATACGCTAGAGGAAAAGTGTCTTAGTAGCTATAATTGTTTTTGAAGGATAATTTAGTGTCAGGAAAACGATCTGTCACATGTTTTTTTGCATTCCAAAAAGAACTTTTTTCTCTTGTTGTTTACTGGCGTTCTATTTTTTGTTTGCGCCTCTTATACTTAGTCATTATATCTACAGCAGATTTTAACACACTATTATATATCTCGATAAGCTCATAAACAATGAGATAGATTATTTTCCAAAGTTATAATTTGATCAGTTTACACTTTTTATGTTGAACATATGATGAATGTGGCGAATCAATGCATGACTATCTATCATCTTTGCCATCTTGAGTATAAATTTTTATCTGCATAAAAATCAAAAATTGCCTTATTTAGAACGCTGAGAAATGTATTTCAGGCATTTAAATTTCAAAGAGGGCTTCAGAATGTTCTGGAGTTTTCTAGACCAATCTAAGCGTTGTTATTAATGCTAGAGAAGTTTGGGAAAGGAATTTGATGCCTGTTGTTCTCAGTTGTTAGGAAAACGTTCCCAATGATCGTTTGTCTTTAGCTCTCCTTCATTTGCTATGAAAGGGGATAGAGAGTCGAAAAATCTCGACTTAAAACTTCCATTCACTATATTTTTCGAAGAAAAATATAATGTGAGTTTCATAAAATTAACTAATACAATTATCATCAGATCAGTGTAAATTAATAACTATTTGTTTGGGTTTCCTTTATTTATTCAAAAAAAAAAATTTATAAATTACAACGTTTTTGGCACTCAACAATTCCAATGGAAGGATTTTGAACAAGGTGTAAAGCGAATATCTTGAGTGATTGTAATATTTAATTCACCAAGTGTTGCTAGTAATGAAACAAAAAAAAAGGCTATTAAATGCTGCAACAAATGTTGCTGGAAGATAATTAAGATTTTGCTCAAAATGAATTGCATTTTTTGGAAAAACACAGCTACTTAGTTTCTAGATGGACCTAAATATCCAATTTTCATTGACATACCATAATTGGTTATAGCAGAAAAATTAGCTAACTAATTACAAAAAATAAATAGAATTTCAATAAATGAAATGGCATAGTTTGAATACTTACAGTTGCAGCTAGAGTTCAATCACCAGTTCCTCGTGAAATTTCTGTAACTGCTTTATCAAAATCAAATATAAAATCAGATGGATTTGATTTTGATCAAACATTTAATTCACTACAAGAATTTTGTAATCGATTCAAGACAATTGGTTGCTAATGGATTGATACTATTTGAGTTATTCCATGGTGTGACAGTTGTTGTACTACTATTATTTTTCAGTGCTACTCTTTATAAGTTGAAGCATCAGAGAAAATAACTAAATAAAATAGATAAATATATTTGAATCAATGATAAAAGAACGAGTGAAAGAGCTGGTTTTGTTATATTCAAATAAGCCAAGTTATCGAAATGGATTATTTTTATGTAGACAATATATCAATGTTGAATAAAATTACAAATTCATTTCGTTACAAAAAAATGCCACTTTTTCTATTCCATTTATATTGTGAAACACGATCTGAAAGGAGTGTTGGAGTATATGGGAGAGAAATTTGGACCTCCCTCCTTCACAGACTGTGACAAATGCCTTAACAACATCCTCACTTTCCATCAGAGACCGTGCAAGGTCTTGTTGATATTTGATCAAAGGCTATATGTCAATGACGTCTCGTTCTAATATAACAAGTATTTCTTTATCCTATTTCTGGAGGATTAAGTGAAAAAATGACGAAGACAAGTGCCCAAAAAAAAGATAGAATAAAGCAATCTCCTTGTGATTAGCTAGAGCAGCTGCATCTTATTTGGCACTTTAATCCAACAAGAAATGCGCTAATAGCTTTTTTCTATATTAATTTTCTATGACATTAGAACATTCATGGTTTCCCTCAATGTTTATAACAACTTCAAATATTGGTTGGAAGTTGGTCATTCAATCATTATTACTATGATAATATTTTATTTGTTCATTGCAATATATTCGGCAACGATCTAATTTTTATCAATTATTTCGTTATGCTCATTATGTATTTTTGGCCAATATTTATTCTTCTTGTTATTCATGCACCAAATTTTTGGAAATCGGCTGCTAAACCGATATCTTTACTTTTTGTTTTAGAAAAAAATTATTTATTCACACGACATTTATCTAAATATGGTCGAATACATTTGATTTCAGTACGAATAGGTGACACGACACATGAACTCTTGATAGTTGAGGTTTTGCGAATTAATTAAGCAAGACATAAAATCAACATTAAGTCGCTTAGTTCAATACGGAAAATGCATGTATATATACGACGTCTTATGGTATTGATGATTCGTTGATACTTACCTTCGTGGCTAAGAGAGTCATCTCTACATAGACGAACAAGTGTTCAAATTAATTATATTTCATTTTTTCATCGAGTCTTCGTTACTTTTTATCTCATTCTACTATTTTTGTTGTACAATGTGAATTGTAAAATCTTTAAAAAACAAGGATGTGAGTGCAAAGAAGATCAACACCCACACCCGAGCAAGAGCTCTGTTCAATTTTTGATGTGAATGTAGACTTTTTCAAATAAAACTATTATCTTGTATTTATTTATTATATTCCTTATGTGAGGCTCAAATATTAAGAGGTTCATTCTGCCACCTGATGATTCTCTTAGTCGAGATGAAATCTAGATCACGGTAGTTGTGACATACATGCACACAAAATGGTGCAAAATTTTTAATAAAGACTCATCTGAAATTCCGAATATGTCACAAAATTCTCTAATAAAGTCTGCACCTTTTAATGCATGTTTCATAGTTTCAGAAGAAATATTTTCAAAAAAAATTATTTGAAGTAAAAAATATGAAAAGACTTAAAAACAACCTTTCCTGACGAAGATATGTGATTGTCCTTTTTTGATTCAAGACAACTTGATCGGTTTTAAATCTCAATTTAATAGTTACATCATTTTGTTCGGAGTTAAATTATACATCCGATAGTGTGGGAATGAACATTCCATACAGCATGTTTCGTTTCGGAGAACATCATTTTCTGAAATATACCCGAAAATACTACTAGGTATTAGTTCCAAGCCCTGTTCTCTTGAACGATAGCACCAGAAACCTTGAAAAGATTGTAGAAGCAGAGAGCACAAAATTATCTATCCACTGCTGCTAAATACTTTAGTTCTAGAATCAATCTTCATGAACACATGTTTACATGAATCGATAGATATCTGCAGAAAATAACAAATCGTAGTTTAACGATTAAGGAGGTGTTAATGTTTTCCATTTTGATCTGACAAGAAAAAGTTGTTTGAAAACAAAAGTTGACAGTTTTGTAAGACGAAAAACGTTCTATCAAATGGGCATAGAACGAAGTCCTGAAAGTATATTAAAGTGTCTAAAACAAAGAAAATAATTTTCTCTCGTTTAATCTGCGCCTTCCGTTATTTAATTAATGTTCCACTAAAAATTCAACTTTACAAGACAATTCTTTCTCTCTAATCCAATCTCGTTTGATCTTTATTTCTAAAATCAAGAAGAAAACTGTCCAATGAAGAAATAAAAAACTTCATTTCAGTTCGATTCCTTATATACTAAGAATTTTAATTGTTGATAAATAAAGTCTACATTCGTTTAAAAAAAACGTAGTCTTTCGTAAAGGAATTAAATTGATTAGTGCGTGTCAAATCTATGGTATGCTTCAAGCTAGATCATTGGCTCATAACTTTTAAATGACCAATATACAATTACCCATGCTAGCCCATGCCCACAAGTACATGTACGTGCGAGACGCTCGGTAACATGCACACGTCCATACGCATACTTGTACGTGTATTCTTGCGTCTCTGACGTAACGTATAGTAATACGCATCGTAGCTTCCTAATTGCGACTGAAAATGAAGCCAATTAACACATCAGTGGTCGCAATTCGGGACACATAGAATAGCGTTGATTTCATGTTTAATGTGTTTCCAAATTACGACCATTTTTTAGTTATCAAACGATCAGCAGTTTTCACTACAATCTTTAGCGTCTTTTATAACATCAATATAACGATGAGAAACAGGTCGTAAAACTTTTTGATAGGCATCGAAATCTTTTTCATAAATATATTCTTTTTTTTGCTAACAGGAGTTTGTTATCATCTTGGATATATCTTCCTTTTCTTGGTCTTGTGATTCGCTTTTGTGCTTGTTCTTGTTCATAACGACATATTACAGATTCTTCTGATGATTTTATTTTATTAATCCATGTCTATAAATCAAGATTTGTTCTCATCTTTGAATTTAATTGTCGATGATAACCTTCCAAGTGATTATTTGTACATGGCCGTTCACCAATCTTATTGAAATGATTCTACATATGTATAGGAAATCGAGCTTCTTTAACGTAATTTTTTATACCATAATCAGTTAATTTTTCTAATTTTGAAGCATAATCGCAGAGTTCATTAATAATCTTTTCCATAGAATGATTAATTTCATTTGAAGACATTAAAGATAATGCAATAATATTAGCAATTTAACGACAAATATTTTTATGTTTTGGTCATTTTACTAAATTACGTTTTCTAACTTTTTTCCATATATTTTGAGCATAATGGAAATTGTATCTTTTTACTAATGCTTGCGGAAATATATCATCAGTTACATTAATCATACCTTGTTGAAAATCTATTAAGATTGATGATAGATCTAATAAGATATTTTTTTTGTTAGATAAGTAAGTAATGATTGAAGTAATTCATGATAACATTTTTCTGATTTTTCTTAGCAACATGAATCAACGATTGGTTTCATGCTAAACTCGTCCCATGCATGTATATGATATGATTGAGAGAATAGTACAGTTGATGTTCTAAAAGTTTCATCATCATTCCAATGTTGACTTTTGCTTAATAATTTTAATGCTTGTTCTGATGCAAATGCTATAATTTTATGAGGTGTTGCTGAATTACAAAATAAAAATTCTTGCTGTGTATTGTTATAATGCATATCATCAGGAATTTTAATTGACGGCAATGAAATGGGTGTTGGTGGTAATATTGTTAAACGAATAAAGTATAGTGTCGATTTCCATGTTTCGACGACTGATATTAGAGCAGCTGTACCATTTTCATGGCGCTAAACAGAATAAACACTATCATACATATGCCTTGCGAATGAAACAAATTAAGTACTAACAAATTTTTTTACTTCTTCTTCATAAATTTTTGTAACAGATTGATCTATATCAGTTAAAATTCGACGTTTCAACCCGGGAAGTACAACTTGAACATTTTCTGGTAACTCCGGGTCATAATTATGACTTTCATCATTTGATTTTATAATTATATTATTTTTCAGAGTAATAGCGCCAGTGTACAATTTGAAAGTGCAGACATAAATTAACGAACCATTCTGATTTTCACGTTTTAATCGATATCAATAATTATTATATAGAATGGCTTTTTCATCTCTTTCAGTTGTTGACCAAGTAAACTTTGTATTCATAATTTGATATGTAGTATGATATTGTCTTCCCCATGATTATATATTAATATAATCAATAAAACACAACTCTTAATCTAATACTTCAAGAACTAATTAATCAAAGTTGTTGCAATTTGAAAACGTATAAAAATGAGATCAACGTTATCCTCTGTATTCCGAATTGTGACCACTGGTATGTTAATTGGCGTCATTTTTGATCGCAATTAGAACATAGCCAATGTGCGTAGTATGACGTACGCGCATCTAGTATGACGAGATAACATGGATAAATAATAAACATTATCGAGTTTAATCTCATCTACTCATCAAATTTCTTCAAAGTGTGTAAGTGAAGAAGCATATTGAGTTTTACAAGAAATGGTTGAACATTTACTAATTGTTTAAAACTTAATTTTCTTGTTTATTTATCTAATATCTTGTTTAAACAAGGCGCAACTAAAAACAAACAAACAAATCCTTTATATAAATACAAGACAATTTATAACTAATGAAAATGTCATGAATTTCATGTGAACAAATTTTTATTTGTTTCTCGTTATTTTCTATGAAAGAATATCTCCAGCTTGTTGTTCAACTAACGTAGACATTTGTTTAACATCACTTGTCCATTGATCTAATCGTTTTTTTAATGTAGCAACTTGTGTTAAATCTAAAACACGTGGTTTAACCCAATGCATATTTAATTTTTGATCAACTTGATCAATACTTCCACGTATTAAATCTAATGATAAAGCTTTCATAGCTAATAATTCAATTTGATCAATAGATAATTTTGTTCGTGTAGCAACATCATTAAAACTTAATGCACGTGTACCACCTGCAACAAATATCATATCCATAAGGCAAAGTAATGTAATTTTTTTTTGTAATATTATTTCTGCCATACGTAAATCAGGTTGACTTTGCCAAAGAGATCTTAATGCTTCAAATTTTTCAACATCACCTATATTAAATGCCTGTAATAAATCAATTAACCATTGCTCACGTGTATTTTTAAGAGCATCAAGTATAGGATGTTGAAGAATTTCACCAAAATTATAAACATTTTCAGCTAATAATGCAGCTAAACCAAGATTAAATGCACGTTCAGCTTTTTCTTTTAACGGAATTAATGATATATCAATGCAACCTAAATGAATCAAAAGTATTTTTCTTTTTTTTACTTTTCTTTTTTTTTTTGTATTGATTATTTAATTAATTTTACCAAGATATTTAAGTGCATGTTGATAATATCCATTATGATTTCCCATAACTCGATAATAATTTGATGCTAAATCATAAAATCTTGAATGTACTGTTGTTAAATGATCAAGTTCATCAAATTTTGGTGTTAAATCTTCAATAATTTTTTTTGTTTCAATTAAGTTTTTTGTTATTAAATATGCTTTACCAATAGTTATATCACAAAGTAAAACAGCTAAAGAATTATTTTTAACTTTTTCACGTATTTGTTGAATAAACTCAATAGCTTGATCAACTTGTTTAAATGTACGTGTTATAGGTATAATTATTTCAACTAATGCTAATTGATTAATACGATGTTCAAAATCTGATAGAAAATTTTCATAAAAATTTTTTAATTGATCACCTTGTTGAAGGTCATCACGATGAACAAATGGTTTTACACGTAATGTTAATTCATGCCATAAACGATTTTGATAGAGAGATTCAAGTTCAAGCCATTCATTAGCTAATGAACCACCGACTAATTTTTGTTCAGATAAATATTTTTCAACACGAGATGACATTGAAAACGATCTGTAAAATAAAACGAAAACAAAAAAATGTTACATATCTTCCGTTCAACTCGCAGCATTATATGTATTAAAAAAAAAAGGGAGAGAAAGAAAATGATTGGACTATTCACCTTATTCAATGAGTATAGAAAAAAAACAGGTGGCGTAACAAGACTGTACATAGAAACACATAGACATGATATGTTAGTGTATAATATGTTTGACTTTTGAAAGTAGCAACCAAAATTATTGTGTTACTATTAATGTTTGCTTATTGTTCTGTGTCTGCAGACATGATAAACTCGAATTGATAAGTAGACGTAAATGGTAGCCTACATTGTAAGTGGTGATGAAGAATGAAAATCGTTCAAATTTATTGAAATTATCAGCGCTTGTATCGTATAACGGCTTGTCCACGTAACGCGTCAACTCTAATACCAATAGTTTGAAAAATTAGGTCTAAGTATCACTACTATTACCCGATATAGTTAGGGAGGAAATGGGTAAAAGCTATTTGTAGTTTTCAGAAGACGAGGTTTAACTCACATTTATTCAATATTGTGGATATCTTAATAGCAGGAAAAGGGTTATATCTTTTCGGTTTTCGTCATCGCGTAACGAAATCGTCATCGTGTAACGTTAGTGTGACCAAAGTTTCACCATGAATAAAAGACCTTTTTCAAAAAAGCATTTCTCACATTAATACTCCGAAGTGTTTTCTACGAATCTATTATAAAATATTTTGTTCAGGATAATATACATTTGGAGAAAAACAAAGAACAAATATAACACCCCCAAATTTTTGTCCCTTGTTCATCATCGCGTAACGCTGTGTATTTTTGCTATGAGTTTCAGAATGGTTAGCTAAATAAACTCAAATTTACTGGATTCCAAGAGTATCTAATAAGACACATCTTTCGACGAAAAAATCAAATTTCTAAGGGATTTTGTTGCTGAGAAAATTTGAAGACAATGTGGACAAAACGTCATCGCGTTACGCTTGGACAAGCCGATAATCTAAATTGATTTCTATGTTGCTATATAGATATCTTAACCAATCAGAGTTTATAATACTTATAGATAGAGTGCTCTGTAGACTGAAAATTGGAATAATTTAGAGAAGAACATTCTGTATGGATGTTTAGAACGCTTCATGTAACGTGCTGACAATTCGTAATTTGAGAAAATTTTTTTTTCATCATAGTTGGATAGAACTTGTCAATTGTATTCTAAGATTTTGATTATCAGAACTTCAATTCCGAAAGAAACGCACATCATATTCAGAATGAGCCTAAAAATCTGCATCGAATATTTTACTTAATAGTTAAAATTTTGGATCCTATACTTCCTCATAATTATTTTCGAATACTCTGCTCTGTGCTTCACACAACTTTCGGAACTGAAGTTCTCATGATTAAAATCTTAGAATGCAAATTCATATTTATGGTTTTTTTGCTATCATATTGAAAAAATCGATTTCCTTAACAATCAAACAAAATTTTTCAACAAGCGTGCATCATTGTTTCTTAACTATATATCAAGTAAAATCAAAAAATATATTTTTTTAAAAATAAATATTGAAGCTACCAAGACATTCTAAGTTTTACTACAAAAACAGCAACATTTCTATAGGTAACTCAACGAGCTCTATCCAACCATGACACAAAAGCGTCGAAAAATTTTTTTTTGTCAAATTTCGAATTGCCGGTACCTTCAATCAAAGAAGTCTATTAAGAGTTTAGATAAGCCATTGCACTTGTTTGTCCAGTTTTTTTTTCTCTAAACTTTCGGAAAAAACCTTCGCTTATCGGATAGCAAATTTAACAGTGGATTATATTAATGAAATAATCATCAATATTCAGAATCTTTCAGGCGAAGAATAAGTATCGTAGAAAGCATGATTTTACAGTAAAAATTACTGGAAAAATAAATTTAGAATCAAAAATCCTCTTATTTCCTTTTGGCAATGGAATATTTATTTGTCATAAAAATAAAATACAAAATAAAACAGTAAGAATTTCTATGAGTATATGAAGTGGCAAGAATCGTTCAAAACAAACCAAGTAAGTCATGGTGAAATTAAATATTCTGTTATGGCAGGTATTGTTTCAACACATATTTGTTCCATCATGTATCTTGTTAATGCTGACGAGACATAATTCGTGTGAACACCACCAGATGCTAACATACAACCACGAATTGTCTTTCCATTACCGACCGGAATCCAAACTATAGAAGTCCACTGTGAATTCATATTGCTAGCCGGTGTAGCTCGATCCAGAAGTATTATAAATAAGATAGTTACTATGACCCTCAACATTGGCGACAATATCCCAATGACCTACTAAATCTGGTCCGTTCTGTTTGGAACGTTCATAGATAGTTGCTTCCGTAATTGGTGCATAATTGTACGATGTTCTGATGGTCTGAAGCGAATAGAGAATGAAAAAGAAACTGTTTCGAGGAAATATCATTTATTGATATTCTAGAAAGAGGATCCAGGGATATAACATGATTAACAAAGAACGAATGCAATTTATTGCTTGTCACTAAAGAAAGAAAAAAAAACATGATTTTACTTAGTTTCTTTGTTTATGCAAAAAAGAAACGTCCTATGTATTCTACAATAAGCAAATAACCCAGGTACACAACTATGTATTGATATTTACTGCAACAAATGATTCATCAAGACAGTCTCCTATTTATGATGAAATGACATGTCTGGACTAGGGTATGCAAATCAATCGAAATTATACGAGAAAGTGAACTATTAGCTCTGTTCACTATTTGTAAATGTTGACTTGATGCTAAACCTCGGTACTTAACAGAGTTTTAATGAAATACAAGAAAAAAGATCTTACATATTTTTTCATTTTGATTTGACGCAGTTGTTGCTAAATAATCAATTGTGACTACATTATTCATTATTTATTTATTTTATTATTTCGATTATAATACGTTTCATAAAGTTACTGTTGGTACTTTCCAATTGATTATTATCTTATATAAATCATTAGGTAAATCTTAACATTTCTTGATTCATATTTATATATTCGTAATATGGTAGGATTTTATATCCTCTTCGACTAACAAGGAAACCTCTCTAGATGCTAAAAAGCGTTTGAGCTCAAATTTCGTCCATAAGTAGGCGATGAATAAACTAAAAAAATCCTAGGAGAATATGAGCGCAAGCTGTGATCTGGCTAAGATATTGACATTTTACTGTAATTTTCTTGGAACATTTCACTTTTCCGGTAAAATCAAAGTTTCGATTTTTGATCTGAAACTTTGTCCACATCAAATCATCAGTCAGCCTAGCTTGTCTACAAAGTTTCAGATCAAAAGTCGAAACTTTGATTTTACTGAAAAAGTGAAGTGCTTCAGGATAATTACAGTAAAACGTCGATATCTCAGTCATGTCGCAACTTGTACCCATATTCACTTAGGATTTTTCTAGTCTATATATCGCTTACTTGTGGATGAAATTTGAGCTCACAAGCTTTTTAGCTCATGGGAAGGATTCTGCGAGATGAGTAGTTTAAATTGAATTAAATTTATTTATAGGAAAACAAAAAATAGATGAAAGAGAAGTAAAAATGTTTTCAATAAATCAGTTGATCAATGTTAATTAAGTTTTTCATTACTACGAAAGAAAAAACAACGGAGATTATCTATCAAATAAATTATTTGACCGAAATTTGATACATTTATTTATAAAATAAAAACATAAAAACTGTTTGTTTTTTACGGCAACTATTGTTTATATTTATCCAAGATTAATGTTGTTTAATTATTTTTATCATATAAAACTTGATCAATAACAATAACAAGAGCTAAAATAAATGCTTGATCTTCATCACCAACAATTTCAACACCATAAGTATCAGATAATGAAAAGAATTTTTTGTTCACTATTGCCACTGTTCGTCCATCTTTTGTTAATGTAAATGCATGAGCAAAAATATCAAGACCTTCTAATGAATATTGACCATAGGCAGAATCAATCTTAAATTTTTGACGAAGAAATGAAAATTTCTTTTTTATAACAGCTAATGGATGATCGGAATCACCAGAACGAGCAGATAATATATTGAAAGTTGGATGAAGATGTAATAATTCTTGTTGAACTTTAATTAGACCACTAATAAATAGAGGAAAAAAAGAAAAAGTAAAAAATAAAATTCATTGGTTTCTATCAATTCATTTATTCTACAGATTTTACATTAGTGAAGTACTCAAGTATAATGGTTATGCATCATTAAGAATAGTATTCTTAACATGATCTATCATATGTATGAGTATAAACTTTTGTTTTAAATATGTAAAGCTTATCATCAAGTAAGAAATTTCTTTTATCTATATGAAAATATTAAATTTCGTAGACTGATCAACATCGAATAATTTTAGTTGATATGCTTGTTTGTTTTATTTACTTACTTTCCAGCCATATCTTCTAGAACAAGTTTATCACCAATTGAAAATAATTTTGATCGAACTTTGTATACATCTTGACCCATTTCATCTTTAATTTTAAAATTATCACCAAGTGAAAATATTTTTTCTCGAATTTGATATCGACGAGCAGGCATTGCTTGTCTATATGAATCTGCTGATGGATATGTAGAATAAGCCATAATAAAATATATCTTACAAATTTTAGTGAAATATGTCACAAACGAACTATATAAATAGTTGATGCCGATTTACAGACTTAAATGCACAATGAAAAATATTGACGCCTTTGAAATGACTAAGACATACACAAGTTTGACGTCAAGAAAATGATGCCCTTGAAATACATTCATCCAATATTAGTCATACAATGCATCAAAAGCAAATATTAATGGCGCTGAATTCACAGAACAAGAAAAAGAAAAAGAGGAATAAAATATGGCGCACGTCATTGACATATTCTTTATTTTGTCATTCAATCGATGTCTATGTTTTTTATCATTTCTGTTTTAAAGTTGTTTTTTTTCTATCATAACTCGTGTCTCGTTTACTTCCTACTC